TTGTTCTCTCTTCTTCGAGTTCAACTGGATACGAAGTCTAATGTATTGAACCAGCAGGCCCTTTCAATATTGTCTACAAATTTATCTCTTCACAGTAATAGAAAAGCATCAATATGAGTTAGCACAATCACTTGTCTAAAATCAATGCAGAACGTGGGCGTACTTTCCTTCTTCCTGGCAATTATTACTCGAGGTGGTCAAGCACTATTTGAAAGCTGTATGATTCCATCCTTTAACATCCACTGTACTTCACTGCTGACCTTAGTACTCTGGAGAAACCTGCACAACAGTTTTTTAAACTGGATATCTCACCTGTAGTTATGTGATGTTGTGCGACTATTGTTCAACCCAATAAGCCATCTGCTCCCATGAATACATTACCATATTTTTCCAACAAGTCACAAAGTTGTTGGTGCTGTATTGTGTATAGATTGTCTGCACAATCTTCAGCTAGTGATATCAGATGTGTTGATGTCTGTGAATTTACTTTGTATATATGGCATGATGGATGCAACCTTAGATTACTACTACCATCAGTTACTTTCACTTTGCTCACCATGCTGATTACCATTCCAGCATACAGCTGGATAACCAATCATCCATAACTGCAGCAAACCCTCCGGACTTCAGTCATCCCCCCTAGAAAGATAAATGCCCGAGCTAATCCTGCTTGCTTTCCGAGCAGTAAACAACCTATTTCATACAGGGACTTTATAACCATGTTACCCAGCACTGGCATACTAAACTGTGTCTGTAGTAAACCATTGAACACCACTTCTGTACATGAGGTGCCGTGACTTCCTCTCCCACATACTCATACAGTTTACTGCTTCTGTGATTGACATCAGATAACTCTACCATGGAACATCAGTTTTCTAGTTGCACAAGCAACAAAACTGACCTATAACTCTGCAGTGTATCCATTTTAAAAATGGTAGTACCAGAACTGAGGTTGGGGGAAAATACTCTTGTCCTGTAAATGAAATCTCCTAGATATAGTCAGAGCTTGATCTTTCCATTTATATATATCTTCATTTCTAGAACAATGCTTGTTTTGTTTTGTCCGAGTGGTGCGTTTGTTTAGAGCACTTGATACACCAAGAGATCTACCAGCATTCTGGTTGTTCCTGTATCAACCACAAACTCTACTTCTCACCCCTCATACTATGATTGACACATACCAATCCCCACCAAGTCCTGAGAAAGAGCTTACACAGCAATTGTTTAATTGGATATGCCTCACCATCACACTTGATGATGCAAGTTGTTCATTGCACTCCCCTGATTTGGTGACCAATCCAACTTGGACCCTGATTGTTTCATAGAGCTGTAGCAGCTATATTCACTGCCCGCTACTAGTTTCATCTGTTGTATGGCCTCTTAGCACCAATAACCTTGTTTTCCTTGCTGCTTGGCAAGGTATGGGCAGTTCACTTGAAAATGTTCCATTGTTCCACGTGCAAAACAGATGCTTTTCCTCCCTTCCAGAACGATTTCCTGGTGGAGGCATGGGTTACACATAAACCATTAAAAGAACAGGGTAGTCCTGCTCATTCATTACACAGCAGTTGGTTACATCACAATGCCAAGATGTAGGGTGGTTTGTTGACACTCTACTGAGTTTGAAACTTGACATGATGTAGGTGGCTAGGTAGGATGGTTTTAGAAGTGATGACACTACAGTATCCACTACAGGATTTTCCTCTATTGCAAAGTCACCACTGTGTACCACAGTGCGACAAAAACTGTCCCAGTCAAAGTGAGAAGATCTCTCATATTCAGTTGATAACACATCACCTTGTTGGGTAGCCTTTCCGCAAACATTTCAACAAGGATATCCTCATGATCTGCTGAGGCCATTGTGGGGTAAGTTTTTCCATGCAAACAATGCACATCATATGTGGCCAATCATTCCATGGTATCCCTCTTACAAACTTTGAATTTGGCCTGATAGATTGCAATTGCCCTGTTTGCCAAGGGACAAACCTCTGGTACAACTCAATAATGACTGTTTTGCAGTTCCAGAGTTGATCCTTCTTTGACTACTCAATTTAGTCTAGGATTACATATCTAAACTTAGAATCACTCATTGTACAGCCTGCTCTGGAGTCCAAGCATTCAAGGTAGTTATCTTTCTGAAAATCTTCAGAACATAGTCCAAATCCTTCTTTGTTGTCCCTTTGAATATTGGCAGAAAGATCTGCTTCTTATCACTCATGATAATTGTGGTTGCAGCTAGATGTTCTTCTTCATAACTTTACAGTCATACCTGACTGAGATATCCTTTACATCGTGGGCATAGCATTATAAGAGCTCCCAGGGACTCCAGCACTTTGATGTGCTTTGGGGTAGCATAACAAGGAGGTGCACTCAGCTGCTCATCCATCATTTCTATTCAACTCCAAGCTTTTCTGTGATTCATGGCCATCTTGGCAGTATACTTTCCTACTCTGGGAGGCACAGCACTAGTCCATTATCTATTAATTTAGCCATTCAGCTCCAGTCAGCAGACATTATTATGTAATAGCACGTCAGTCGCTCTCCAAGATTTTTAGGCTAAGATTACTCTTGCAGGTATAAGTCTGAAGTCCAAAATAGACTGCTGTACCTAGTCTTAGGCTTACCAGAAGCCACACCACTGTGACAGATCTTAATCATCTGTGATTTTCTTGCACCGAGGTCGATCCTCAATGGAAAAGTATGGACAGCCATTCTGGGTGCACTATAAATTTGTAGTTATTCTTCCCGAGTCGTCAATTGCAGAGATACAAATTATGGACCTTTTCAGCATTGTCAAAAATCCAATTTCCAGGAGAGGACTTACCCTAGGCCCAACACCTCTCTCATACAACTATCACCCCTCAATGCTGACTTTTCCTCTGAGTTGTAAGTCCTTCTAATCACGGAAAATGCTATTTAATGAATTATGGGGCATTTTAAAATATATATTACACAAGAGAAGGAGCAAAGCGTCATAAATAATTCAAGAGATATAGCAAACCTCACAATGTGACAACGTGTGGCTGCGATATTTAAATGTACCATGTACATCTATATTCATATAATATTATACTTTTTTTTTCTGAATATGCCCTTTGTTTTGTATGTGTAGGTTTCACATAACAGTGGTTGAGAAAATAATTAAGTTGATTTTGTTCAAAGCTTTTCTTTTCTTTATTGTTGTTTTTGAAGCGAATGATACCTCAATATATTCCTTAAAATAAAATTGTGAGTCAAACTAAAATTTTCAGTAGATATATGAAGATAAGTTTGCAATCTTAATTCTTAAGGCGCAGTTCGAAGCTCATTATAATACATAATCAACATTAATTTTGGAACGTATACTAATTTCTTAACTTTGTGTTGTGCGTTGTCATTTTATTGTACGAAGAGTATAAACATCGCTGGCCACTAGACGATGCTACTGGAAGAGTAAGCTCCCACCGACCCCTTAATTGACTAGAGTGAGGGCGCTCCCTCCCTCCACGAGGGTCGCGGGTTCGAATCGCCGTCCCACCAAACATGCTCGCCCTTTCAGCCGTGGGGGCGTTATAACGTGACGGTCAATCCCACTATTCGTTGGTAAAAGAGTAGCCCAAGAATTGGCAGTGGGTGATGATGACTAGCTGCCTTCCCTCTAGTCTTACACTGCCAAATTAGGGACGGCTAGCGCAGATAGCCCTGGTGTAGCTTTGCGCGAAATTCAAAACAAACAAACAAATAAACCCTCCCTCCCCAACCCTTTAGGGATTTGATTTTCTTCTCCCCCTTGCATTGTTGTATTTATCTCTCCCCTCGCATGAAAAACGTTCTGACGTCAATATTTGAAAAAATAAAAATTGACTATAGTTAGCTAAGTAAAACGAATTTATGTTTTCCCTGTATATATATCTTAATAATTTGTCAATTTTCTAAAGTCAATTCATTAGAGCAAGTCACTTACTAAATAACAAAAAATACAAATTTTCACACATTCATGTGGAGGATAACTGTAATAGTACAATGAGACGTTTTTCTCTTTTTTTTTTAGGAATCAGACGTGGACTAATGGTTTGTGTGCCCGGCCTGTGACTCCAAAGATTCAAGCTTGCACTTTGGAGCTAGGGATGCGCTATAACACTGACGGTTAAATCTTACTTTTTGGTCAGATAAGAGTGACCCAAAAGATGACGGTTCTATTGACTAGCTGCATTGCCATTAGCTTATCAGTTCAGAATTAGGGATAGCTAGGCGCAGACAGTCTATTGTGTAGCTTTGCGTGAAAAATATAAAACAAATCTGGAAATCTTCCCTCTTGTACCACTACGTAATCTAGCAGTTTGAAAATTTAGTGTCTACTAAAGAATATAACCTGAAGTCAATATTCGCATGTAACGTTAACCCCAACTTTAAAAGACCCACATCATATGATTCTACTGGTTGCACATTCTGTACAGTACAAACAATTACTAATGAAATATTTTCTTAATCGAAAATTACAAGTTGTATGGCTTAAATAGCTCTCCCCAGTGGCTAAAAATCGAGTTTCGACACTCGTGGTGATATAGAACAGATAGCCTAATATCGTACACTTAAATGAAAATGAGCATTACTACTTTAATTTGCCTTATGTTGGACTACTGCAAGAACCTAGATTTATAGTGTTAAATATTTGGTTATAGCCAAATAAGTTTTTTTTTTTTTGTAAGTTAAGCACAAAGCTACACAATGGGATATCTGTGCTGTGCCCTTCACGGGTATCGAAACCCGGTTTCTAGCGTTATAAGTCCGCAGATATGCCGCTGTGCCATTGGGGGAAACCAAATAAGATATTTCCAACATTGCTCAAGCTGGAAAAATATTAATTACACAATCCTGTGCTCAAGCCACTACAGTGTCACCTAGAAGACATGTAAAGTCAGTCGTCTCCTCCCGCCTCTCTTCACATAGCTAGAAGATACTTATAATTTGGGAGTGATAACAGGAAGTAGGTCCCTTTACACATTGCCTTATTTGTGTAGCAGTAGGGAGATGACGTAAGTGTGAGCTCATGGATGGCAGACGGCGTCTCTGAGTTCTTGCTTTCATACCCACTTGAAAATTTGTAAAAAAAAGTAAGTTATTACTCGTATATAGTATTATTATTTTATAATAAGTTAACAGTAATGATACTAATATAGTATAAATACAAGTAATTTATTGAAAAATGTCTCAGTGTTTGAGGTTCATATTTTTCGTGAATGAGTTCTACTTCTCTAACTCTAGTCTAAGTTCTGGAGCAGTACTTTTACTTCTAGTTCTAGTAGTAATACTAGCGGAAACTAAGTTTCACCGACAGATTTTTTTTTATCACAGACGGGAGGTTAGGTATAGAACTGTTATTAACATAATTTACATAAGTATAATGTAACAATGCGCGTTATGTGTTTAATATTATCTTTTCACTTCTGTAGCATTGTGTTTTATTAATATTATGGTTTCACTTTTAGTCACTGAGTCAATCAGCATGTAGATAAACATTTTGCAACAGCTACAAGTTTTGGAAGCTTGGTATAGAGAAAGTTCAGAATGCTCATAATGACAATGTAGATACTATTAGTTCAGTTACATTTCTTAACCAGATTAGGAAAGTAAGGTTATAAGTTGTACAACTTACAAGGTATAACCTACCCCAGAAGATCAATCTAGGAATTTCTTCAGACATTCGGTGTCAACTAGTTGCATATAGGGGATTGGATACAAAATTAAGAATATTCAGTACCTTATTATTATTAATAAGTTGTACAGCCCCATTGGTAACTAGTGAAGCAGAAGTATAACAGAATCGGTAAGATGTCTAAAAGTACTACTATTAGTATATATAGTACTTGGTGGTATCTTGGTATCTGGACCCCCTCAGTTATGATAAACTCTTGCAGTTGGTAAGTTTGTTGTACACGGATATTGGACACTACACTGGATTTTCAAGTTACACCTCAATGGCTTTAATGGATGCACTTCAAGTGATTATTGGAGATCAAGAAAAAATGGTAGTCAGTTTCATACTCAGTGAATCACTCTTGAACTATTTTATAAGTGCAACCTACAAAGATATTTATATAAATAGCATGTGGTCTACACAGATACTATCATTATCACTATTTTAATAATTCACTAAAACATAATTTCTTGCTAAATAATTTATATCTATCCCTGTTTTTGTTCAGCAAATAATAATAATTTAATAAGTTGTGTGTTCCAAAAGAGTACCTTAAATTTAGGTTATAATTGTGCTAGTTTTAATTGTTGGTATTTATTTTATTCCAGTTATACTTACCCCCAAAAGATTTTGTAATGGTATTTTGTACTTTATTAATGTAAAAGTG